CAGGAATGACTGAGAGACTGAATGTCCATGCTGCGTGCTGTTTGATGCTAAGTTAGATGTTTTGGTCCAGTTGAAACTAAAGCAGTTTGTACAAGACTAGCAACAAAGCCATGGATTAACAGTCAAGAGGGCATTGTGGTGGTGACACATGTTGATGGTCAGTATTGGAGAGCAGCTTGAGCCAATGATACCTGTGTTGCACCAGCATTTCTGCAGATAAGGCTTTGGAGTCCTGCAAATGATCTAACATGTATCGTGTTCTGTAGCTGTGGAGAGAGTGCTTACATGGGTGATAGGAAAGTGTAATGTGTGATGTCTGGATATGGGGAGAAGTGAAAACTAGAGGTATGTTTTCTTCAATTATTCCATTTTGCATTTGTTTTAATGTCTGCAATGGACTATTTTTGCTGTCTTTATAGGAGGAAGAAGAGCAAGAGGAAGAAGATGATGATGAAGATGATGATGATACAGATGATCTTGATGAACTAGATACGGACCAGCTGCTGGACGCTGAGCTAGAGGAGGATGAGAACAATGAGAATGCTGGTGAGGATGGAGAAAATGATTTTTCTCCCTCCGATGATGAAGAGCTTGCAAACCTCCTGGAAGAGGGAGATGAGGGTGAAGATGAAGATTCTGATGCTGATGAGGAAGTTGAGCTGATTCTTGGAGATAGTAAGTGTGTGCCCAGCTTGGTGACCACAGGTGACCTTGTCCTCTGTTTAATATCCTGATAAATATGCAACACCTAAGTCTTCCCTGAAATGACTCAGCTGACTTTTCCCCTCACTGGTATGAAAGGCACAAATCATCGTGCTTGTTCATGTGTGGACTCTCAAAGTAATCTGTTGGTAAAAACAGCTCTTACCTGAGAGGACAACTGTGAGTTCTGGAAAGGAAGCTATCTCCTTTCTTCAAGTGCTCCCAGGTGCCTGTGTGAGAACTTGGCATGCCAAGAAGCTCCATATGAAGAAGCCTTGTCTGATTGCTTGCCTGTCCTGCCCTTCAAGGGGACACTGCTTGAACTGTTACCTCACCTGTCTTCTCTGCCTTATTTGTACATGTAAGGACAGAGAAGCTTTTTTGGTCCTTGGTGCTATTATTTCTCTTTTGTAATTGCTTAAAGTGCAGAACTGACATGGCATTTCTGACTTCTTTTCCTTTTTTAGACTGTTCTGAAGCTAACATAACTGTTGGGATAAAATTTAAATTATTCTCTTTTTCTGGCATTCCACAGATACAGAGATTTTAAAAGTTAACGAAGTGTGTGTGTGTATTTATGTGTATAAGAAAGAAAGGTCTAAACTTTTTTATGTAGCAATTCGATTTGAAAAAAGACTTCACGAGAAATAGAAGGCGAGTAGGATAGCATCAGGCTTGGGATTTGTGACACCAGATTCTGTTCCCTTTTCTGCAGCACAGTTTTTGAGTATGTGTGGCCAAGCCACGTAGTTCTTTTTAATTTCCGAGCTGTAGACTGGGGATAATATAGTTACCTTAAGTTTAAAGGATGGTAAGGATGAGTCATTACAGTGTGCAAGGTGTTTGAAGTTGTGCAGTGATATGAGATTAATGTGCGAGCTGAGGTGGGGATCAATCTTCTCTGCCAGCGCACTGGAGGATTAAGCATGCCAGACCTCTGTTTTGGCACTAACATGGCTGGAAGACTGACTCATGTCCCTCTTTTCTGCTAGAATGTAGCCATTTTTAAGGATGCAGCTAGATCAGGTTGCCAGAGTTATTCTGTGGGGTCAGTCTGCTGTTCTCTTGAAGGTCATAGGTATACAATGAAGGGCTGTATAGGACTTTTACAAAGGTCAAAATCATTAATAGCGTATTGCAGTTCAACATTTTGGGATTGTGCGTAACTTCTGCCTGTCCCAGTAGCTGGCAGGACCTTCTTGACACAGGTCTGTTCTTGTTTCCTCAGGGGATGCAGAGCCAGAAGTATTGAGAGCACCCAGCGTGCTGTAACTTGAACTGTCCAAGGGGCAGAATGGAGGAGAAGTTCAGGCCATTTCAGTAACTATTCCTGTAACAAAACTAGGTGCTACTTGACACTTAGTTATTTCAAGTGCGCTCTGCAGACCACTGTGTGTTTTGAAATGGCTCCATCTGTACACCATTTCTGGATAGAACCACTTGATCTGGTATCGCTGTGGAGCTGCAGCCAGCCCATCCTGTGGCTGTTAGGTTGCTTAGCAGCATCTTTGGGAACTTAAAGCAGGGAGTGCAGCTCTGCCAGGCTGATATATGTGTGGTCCTTGCACAGGGTTTGAGCGGGGTGTGGCTGTGGCTTCTTCTCTGTGACTTCAACTTCATCTAGCTTGCTGTTGTTTCTCAGCCAGGAAGAGTGATTAAAATTTCCCTCTCCTTTGCTTATGCTGTGTTCCAGAATTGAAGGTTGTAAAGGCAGTGACGCTGTTGCCAAGTACAGATCTGAGGCACGGTGATGCATTTGGAGTGCTTCCTACTGCAGACCCTTGCTGTACTTTGGAAGAACATCCATAACATACAGTGGGTGTGCTTCAAAACAAGATAATTCAAAGAACAGTTGAAAGAGGGCAGTGAATGGCTTTGGTTCCTTGTGCTTTAGAAGAGGCTTTATTCCCTTTTCAGGAATAATTCATGGAGAACCTTTTTAAGTATAAATTTGTCGTCTTCTTCCTTTGTCACTACCTTGGGGAGGGTAGACTTCTTTGTCTTATCTGAAGCAGTTTATACATTGTGCAGATCTTTCAAGAGCTTGTTGCTGGGCCAGTGGAGTGTCCTTTTAGAAATGCACGTGTGATGTGGGGTGGAAGAAATATATGGAGTTCTCATCAGCAATGTGGCTGACTCTTGTTTGCTCTTTTCTGTAATTGAAAATGGCAACTTCCAGGCAGGTCTATAAGCTTCTGCAATCAGGTTTACTTATAGACATGGAGCTCAAAATTGAAAGGCTGTGTCAGGGACTGGAGAATAAAGAGTTAGGAGATCCCCTTTCAAAGCTTTTCTCTGGTGTTTTTAAAAAAACAAAACAAAACAAAAAACAGGGCCAAATGTTTTCAGCTTCTCTTCTTCTCCAGAGTTTCTGGATTGTTATCTCGCTTGTGCTTCTTTCCCTCTTACTGTGTAAGTGTAGCTGCTGCAGCACTGGCTGGTGTTTTCCAACTCCCCTTACATGGCTGTAGCTGTTCTGGGAGCGTTGATGACCCCTCAGCTGAAGCTCAGTATGATGGGTGGTGAGACTGGAGCCATCCCTTGCTGATCACAGTGGAAGGGCAGTTGGTTGATCGTCAGGGAGGAGGGTTGGGGGAAAGGGTTTGTCCCCTCTGCTGCTTGTCTGTGATTTTTTCTTTTCTTAAGGAAAGCAGCTGAGAAGGGGTGAACCTTCCAGAAGGCCTTGACAGGCATTCTAGAGATCCAGTGTAACTGAGATGGCTAAAAGGAAGTCTTGGTGTCTTTTTTTTTTTTTTAACTGTTTTTAACACCTAGTTAACTGCAGCATCCAATGAATTCACATAAGAGCCAACATCACCTCTAAGGTAAGGCAGGAGACCTCTTGCTGCCACAGCTGCTACCACTTCCCTCTTGCACAACTGAGGGAGGAGAGATCTTATGTTTTAAGATAAAAAGCAAGTGTGTGTGTGTGTGACTGCTTCTGGCAAATCCTTTCATGTCTTCATTCTGTACCACAATGAAGAAATCCAGGAAAAGCACAATTTTCAAGTCATCTTTAATGAGTGCCATGCAGTTAAATTCATTACAGAAGCCTTCAGGTTGCTAGAAGAAGGTTGTAGTTGTGAATGTATGGATTGCTTCCGCCTAGTGGGGAGGTCTCCTGCTGTGCTGTCACTAAGGGGAGTGACAGGCCAAGAACCTAGTACTGAGAAAGTCTGGGTCTAACTTATTGCATAATGAGTTAGCCCGATGCACATTATAGAGGCAGTATTTCACCACATCAGGTTGGTGGAGCTGTCAAGCTTGTGTTCTAATAACAGCTGTGAGGATCTGTCCAGGCCCCAGCATGAGGAGCTCTTGCAGTTAGATGTGCACAGTAAGTTGTTGCAGGCAGCTTATGTGCAAGTAATTTACTGCTGGTTTCCTTTTCCCCATCTTATCATGGGGAAAAAAACCTGCCAGCTACTAGAAACTGCACTTGCCAAAGCTGCTCTCCTCTTGGCCCTCTGTTTTAACTGGGGAAAGCAAGCTCTGTTGCAGATTTGCTAACTGCTTTTGATTGATTTGAAATGCACGAATGGTGCTAGCTGCCTCCTGTACTGCTGGGGAGCTGCTGGTCTCAAGCAGCTGGTGGCCATCTCGTCTAACTATGAATGCATTGCCTTGCTTGGCTGCCCTGACAGTTGTGGTCTTCCACAAACCAAATGTAACCTACGTGTCTCCTTTTCAGCCGACAGCTCGGATAACTCTGACTTGGAGGATGACATAATCCTGTCTCTGAATGAGTGAGGAGTGACTGCCAGGCGGGGTGTCAACAGCAGAAGACCGGAGGCCAAATTGGAAACTGATTCGGAGCACCCCAACCCTTTTTCTCCTGGGAAAACCTGAGGAACTCTGGGGGTCTACAATAAAGAGACTTGGTGTTAGGCCTCTTTTCTCTCTGCCTTTTTTTTTATTTTTTATTTTAGGCTGAGATGACTCTCCTCTTCAAGGAAACTTCTGAAGATATTTCACAATATATTTTCTTTGTATAAAGTTCTTTCCTAAAGAACAGAAATAGTTTTATATAAAACAAAAAAAAAAAAAAAAAAGGCAGGTGTTCTAGTAAAGAGGGGATGAACTTTGTATTCCTGTAGTACCTTGTTACCATGGGGTAGGTTTGGGTGAGAAAAATTCTTTAAAATTAAGAGGCATTTTTATGCAACTAATAAGTGAAATAAGAGGATCTTGGTTTCTAATATTGTTGAGGAGTGAGAATATTTTTATTTTAAATATGATTTTATTTAAAAAAAAAAAAAAGGCAACAGGTGTTAACATCTGCTAGTGTGCCAGGGTGTTTCGGATGCTTTTGTCCTCCAGGGAAGAGCCCTGGTCTAAAGTGGAGATTCTCGCTGTGATACCAGCTATAGTGGGAAGCTGAAATCCTGGCTTGGGCTAGTCACAGCCTGGTATTCCTGAAGACATGGGGATCTGGGATTGAAGTTGAAGACCTCTTTCTCCCCTCTGCCCTTTGTGGTTCAAGTTTTTATCTTTTTTTTTTTTTTTCCCCCCCCTCCCTCTTGCCCTCTGTGTGGAAACTGCAAATTGAAGGCCTTTTTCTTTAATGTAAATTGTATTTATTAAAAAATTAAATACAAATCTTGTCTCTGTTTATGGCTGTGAATTGTAGCCATGCAGTCCTCTGCTACCGATTCAAAAGTGGTGTTCTGTGCACCTGAGGAGCTCAGCCAGAGAGCAGCTAGGTGTAGCTAGTGGCCTGGCTTCAATAAGGAAGGGCAATACAAGCAAGGGGTGAGATTTCTGAGTGCAGGCTGCACCTGTTGCTCCAGTCCACAGGCACTCCCAGAGCTGCACTGTGGACATTGCGCAGTGCCTGCAAGTTCAAATCTGACCTGGTTTGCCTGTCAGCCTCGAAGTCTCAGTGGGGTTGTGGGCAGTGCGGCGCGGCACCACATCCTCACCGTGCTGTGTGGGAGCTGGAAGGTGCTGCTAATGCCAGGCTGTGATTTTGTTCAAAGATGCACCAGGATACCCC